AATATCTGACCAGAATAGGTCCTTTAAGGTCCACCTCATCACCCTAATGCAGTGGTTCTCAGCCTTCCTAATGCTGCGACCCTTTAATACAGTTCCTCATGTTGTGGTGACCCCCAATTTCATTGTTACAAATTGAACATAATTAAAGCATAGTGATTCATCACAAAAACAATATGTCATTATATATGTGTTTTCCGATGGTCTTAGGCGACCCCTGTGAAAGGGTCGTTCTACCCCCAAAGGGGTCGCGACCCACAGGCCGAGAACCGCTGCCCTAATGTCTCGGGCTCTGAATTACAGGGTTGCTCAGGGCTCCACTTTGACGGGCCATAACCCCGCGAGCAGGTGGTCTGAAGAGCAGGTCTGAGTCCTGTACCCACTGCGTTCTCTTTGCGTTTAGCACCCTCGGTGGCTAGAGGCCCTGGGTATTCCCGTCGGGGCTTGTACAGAAGTGTCCTGGCTTCCACACCCAAAGTCTACGTTGGAGTTTGCTCCTTTTTCTCTCATCTTTCTTTATTCCCTTCCTTTGGCGTTTAGATTGTTTCCAAGCAGTTTTCACGTGTTGTTCTGAGCCCACTACTCTCCTGAAAAGGTTTGCTTGAAGCTGACCATCACCCAGTTCTTGTCAACGCCACTAACTTCCCAGAATTTACCATTTGTGTCTTCTCTGTGGCTTTGATATTGTTGATCAGTCAATCCTCCTTGAGGCTGTCCCCCGTTTTTTTGTTTCTTTCACTTTCTTGTCCCTCCTTCCATCTGCCCTCACCCACTGGCTTTGTCATGCACTCGGGGGCCTGCATGGCTCTGGCCTCTGAGGGGACCTTTCCCCACGTCTCCTGGGCTCTTCTGTAACTCCCCCAAAAAGCAGCTCCTCGCTCTGGGTCCCGCCTGGAGCGGCTCCAGGTTGCACAGTCACCTCCTTGGTGGGCTCTTTACTGTTGGGAAGCCACCTGTTACTGGGGAGGGCTCACTCTCAACTCTGCATCACTGTTCTGACCACTGACCGCCACTGTGGCTCTGTCTGCAGGGACTGAGTCAGTGCAGCACCCGCCCACTTCCAGGACCTGCGATCTGACATGGGTTCCAGCCCGACTGTCCTCAGCTGCCAGGGGCATGGCCCTTCCAGCAGCTGCCGAGATGGAAAGCCTTTGAATCTAACTCTTCCTTTCCATTCCCTACGCCCAGTGTCGCAGGAATGCCTCACTTTCTCACGAGCGAGGGAAGATAGGCCTCGCTGGGGAGCGATCCCTTGGGGTGTGTGTGTGTCTTATTTGTTGGGAATCAGAGTTTTTCAGAATCAGAGGCATCTCAAAGATCATAGTCTGATTCTCTCATTTTACATTCTCATTTTATGACGGTGAACAGAGATGTGCGAAATTATTTCATAGTTGTTACTGCAGCAATGGGACTGAAGTCACATTCTCTTTGCATGATGCTCGCACAGGTAACAGAATAAAATGCCCTCTTGTCATCTACATTGCTCCAGTAATCTGTTGCTGTGTAATATTTCTTATCCTTTAAAAACACTTAATTCACACCCAGTCTTGACAAAATATCACAATGAACCTGTTTTAAAAAGTTAAACTTGTTGCCATGGCTGGGTGGCGCATCATCCCATTCACCAAAAGGTTGTGGGTTTGAGTTTTGGTCAGGACACCTACGGGAGGCAACCAACCGATATTTCTCTCTCATCTCGATGTTTTGCTCTCTCGAGAAATCAGCGAAAGCATATCCTCGGATGAGGATTAAAAAAAAATTAAAACTTGTCGGTTTCTTAAAAGATTGAGCATTTTCTTTCAGTGGAAAGAAAAAAAAGGCATTCGACAAATTAGTTCCAGCTGGGCCTTCCCGTTTGTTACAATCAGTCCCAAACCTAAACAGGAGGAGGCAAAGCCTTACTGAGCGAACCCACCTTCTGTGTGAGCCTTACCTGTCCCCGGTGCGGGGGCCAGGCTGGAGTCGGGGAGGGGGTCTGCCCCGGGGCAGCCTTGTGATCTGCTGTCGGTGCCCCCAGAGGGTGCTCAGTGGATTTTAAGCTTGGCCTTCCGTTAGGCAGGACAGCCAGAGCTCCTCCAGCGCACTGGGTGGGACATCTGAGCTCCCCGTTCAGCAGAACAGGACTTGCCGACACCCAGGAAGACGCTCGGTGCCCACTGGGCCGCCTGGCAGCACCGCCTCAGCGCCGAGGTGGCCAGTGCGTGCGGTCAGTGCTTGCTGACTAGTGAGCGCAGCCGCACCGAGCACCGCGGCCGTGTCCCCGCGGTCAGGAGGAAGAGTCAGGAAGGTCAGGAATGAAGCTGTGTTTCGTTTTAGAGAACTGGCAGTTTATAACCCGTATTTAGTGGCATTACTTTATCCCCTCCCCCGGCCTTGGCCTACATAGTTCAGTAGGAACACATGCTGTTTTAAGGGATGATCTCGGATTTAATAAAATGAAGCAAGCATGTGACCTGACCACTTTCACCCGTTCGCGATGTGCCTGCTGGAGCCACCCGCGTGCCTTCTCAGTGAGGTGATCGCAGCCATTCCGGACGGCGTGGGACGTCTGAGCGGGAGGTCAGTGGTCACATCGAGGGCTGGGGAACCAAGTGGGAGCGTGTGCTTTGAGCCTGAGCCTTCCCAGCGCAGGGGAGGCTCCCAGACCCCGTGCAGAAGCGGGTGTAGATGGAGAGCAGCATCTTTGTCTTGTTACTTTCCCAGGTCTTTGCTCTTAAAAGAAGGGCCTAAAGGCAAGTGAAGGGGAAGTGGGTGCCCAGAGCAGCACAGGAACAAGCTGGCCTCTGGGTGGTGCCTGGAAGAGCGTAGGGCAGGCTGGCACCTCCAGGGTGAAGTGGGCATTGGCGAGGCCTCCCACAGACTGCCCGCACCTGTCCTGGTGTCTGCAGGTGGCTCACTGGGCCAGTTCTAACGCCTTTCTTTTCACATGCTCTTCTGTCTTGAAAAACTTTCAAGCTGGTAAAAAAAAGTTCCATTGGAAGGAGGTCGCCTCTGTAAGTTGGGTGGGGAGGGTCCGGCCTGAGGGCCATGAAGCCATTTGGTCTGGCCCTGCCGAGGCGTTAGGGGTGAGCTAATTAAGGGTTTGGCCGAGACAGCAGGCTGGTTTTTGTACATAGCAGTTGGTAGTTTTGTGTGGCCCTCGATTCATGTTACAAATATCCATATGGCCCTTGGCGGGCAAAGGTCCCACCCCTGGTGCAAGGAATATGCCCGATGGGAAGAGAGTCCTAGGAGTAAGCTGTGAATTGGGACCGGATTGAAACTCTGAACACATTTGTGGGAACTTTGTTTTATATTCCATTTATGTCTGTAAATCGTTCCTATTAAAGTCAGCTAACCAGTCAGTCAACCAATCGTTCCTATTAAAGTCTTGGTGGACAGAGACGTCATCCAAGAGCTTCAGCCCGTCACCGTCGTTTTGCCACCAAGTTTCCTCCCCCGCTCCCCCGCCCTCCCCGTTCCCACTTGCCCAGCCTGTCCCGTCCAGGGGGCGGCTGGACCTTCCCGAGGGACCAGGTGTTCATTTTGGGTCTTTGTTTTTAAAGGTATTGCAGCTGCTACTTTTGTTATCAAATACTAGCCTGCAATTCCAGTCAAAACATTTGCCATCAATAAAAACAAAGACCCCCTCTCCCGGTGTAATTATAATGTGAGTCCACACAAGTAGCCTGTTCGTCTCCGCATACTCACTCGAAAGGAGACCTTCAGCACCAAACCGTAAGAATCTATAGATCCGAGTCAACGTTAACATATACTTTTTTTTTTTTTATTAAATATGTAAAAAGATAACCGCAAGTCCAAGTTATTCACATAGTCAGCGACAAAAGGCTATTCTACCATGCGACAACGGTGGGCAATGTAAAACGAATGTGATACATCTGGTAAGACCGCTTCCTCTATTATGTCCTTACTTAGCTCTATTTATAATGAACAATACGTCTGTTTACGTTCCTTTCAGGTTACATTTCCTATGTAACCAGAGCTTTCCGGTGTACTACGTGGTAAAGTGATCTGAATGCATATAAACCTGGCGGGAGAATGGCGACACTCACCAGGGAAGGGGTCCTCGGCTCCCTTCTGGGGTTGACTTCTCTCGGGCCAACAGCGTGTTTGTCTTTTTTGCTTTTCTGCTTAGCAGACAGGCTCCTGGCCCCCAGCTTCGGTCCCTTCCTATCTGACACGAGTCGTGGAAGTGCTATGACCAGACACGGCGGGTGTGAGGGAGGAGCAGGGCGCACACCAAGGGTGACCGCTCAGCCAGCCCGCGATGGGGAGGGGATGACAGGTACAGCCATCGGGAGGAAGGAGCAGGCCTGGCCCACGAGAGTGGCCTGCACAGAGCTGGGGTGCAGCCACGGGGCTGGGAACGAGCTGTTCAAGAGTCCCCAGGTCTCCGTGAGGGGACAGGAGGAGGGACACAGCTCTTCCCTACATGGGTGAGGAGTGTGCTCCAACTCTGGGGAGGGGAGTGGAGTACGGTGACTGGGAAAGTTATCTTTGCAAACTCCCTGGCCAGTGTGTTTACAGCGGAGCTGGGGCTGAGGGGGAAATGGCGCGGGTGCAGGTCGCACAGCCATGGCGTGCACCGGCTGCGTCTGCAGGGCTGGCAGGAAGCTCCATAGGAACCCTGACGTGGTCTGTATGGAATTACTCACAGTGCCTCCCTATGAAAGCTATTTTAAAACAAGGAACCTATGTACAACAGGCCGGGGGTGGGGTGGGGGGGCGTTAGGCACGAGCTGCGTCTAGCACCACCACCACCTGGAACAGGTGCGGAGGACGTCACTGCCGAGGGCCAGGCTGCAGCCCGAGCGAGCTGCCGAAGCGCGGGGCAAGCAGAGAGGAGGGAGTCCATCGCCCGGGGCGGTCCGGTCCAGGCCCGCAGTGGCTTCCTCCTCACCGCGGCCGGCCGCTGCCGCAGGGGTGGTCTGAGAAGGCTGCTTTCGGCGGAAGCGTCAGAGCGGCCGTGCAGCATCTCATCATAAAGAAATGTCAGCGCGTTATGACACAGAGCTGAGAAATTTATTGTCAGCTTTTCCGCGAAGAGGAAAGTGGGTGGGCACACTGTGTGCTGTTGGGCTGCACCTACCAAGTCAAATGCCCAGTGAAGGTGAATCTAAAGTTAGGAACCGAGTGCAATGAAGGATCCGGGAAGGGAAACCATCTCTCAAAGGGGAAAAAAAGGAGGCAAAGATACTAAGAAAATGTGCAAATCTTAGTTAAAAAAAAAAAAGGAATGCTTCTAATTCATCAATGTTTCCTCGGTTTTGAACCCCCCCGGTCTAGCAAAGGGCAATGGCATGGAGGCCGCAGTATGAAGGGGAATTCCTATTCCAGAAGGTTCCTTTCAACATCAGCCATGGTGCTCCTGGAACCACCCCATTCCCCGAGGTCCTCCCTCCAGCAGGTGCGTGGCATCCCGCCCTCGGGGCTGCCCCCCACCCTGGAGCCCGGGGACCCTGGAGCCCTCGGGGCGCAGAGCTGACAACGGCTGTGGGAGGGTGGCTGCCCACCAAAGGGGACCCTGAGAAAGAAAATGCATGAGAACCGGGGTGGGTGGGGTGGGACGGGGCAGGTGGTTCGCGGGCCAAGGTGAGACTGTTTCTCGAGGAAGAACCACCAGGACAAGTGTGGCTGCCTGACGCGCGGGGGTGCTGGGCGAGGGCCCGGCTGGATTCCGTCCTTCCCTTCCCTTCCCTTCCCTTCCCTTCCCTTCCCTTCCCTTCCCTTTACGGTCGTGAGCAGAGGGAGCCGCGGGCTCCGTGTTGTCCCTAGGAAACAAGTCACTGTCGTTATGGCTTTCGTATCAAGTATCTCTTTCCCTTTGTCCCATTTATTATCTTACAGATTCATGTCAGAGGTTAGACTCGCAAACATCAAAGCACCACTGTGTGTGACATCTAGTGACACGGGTGAGAAATGCCAATATAAATACCAATATCAAGTTACCATTGCTTCACACCAGGGGGAGGGGTGGTGGGGGGGAGAGTTCTGGAAGAAATGAGGAGACAGACCAGTCCCGCAGCCGTGGCGAAGCGGAGGGCGTGCGGAGGGCGCTCTGGCGGCCCAGGGCTGCTCTGGGTCTCGGCAGAGGAGGGGACGGAGCGCTGCGCCCGTGACCGCCGTTCCGTGGCGCTGAGGCCACCCTGTTCCAATTCTCCAGAAGCAAAGTCCCCACGCGACACGGAGTGTCGGCAGTGGCAGCGTCAGTACTCCTCCTGCTGCGGGGGCTGCTCGTGCGCCTGCTCCTCCGCTTCCGGCTCTTCGGGGGGGCCCTCCTGCGGGGCGGGGGGGGCAGGAGTGTTAGCTGACACGGGCCCAGGCCAGCAGGTGCCTCCCTCCCTCCCTCCCAACCCCCCCTCCCTCGGGTGCCCGGCCCGGCTCTCCCTGTGCTTTGGAAGGAAGCCCGCCGGAGCCTGCTGGTGACGCCTGCTTCATAAGGTGAACAAACAGCGGACCGAGCAGCAGGAGACCCGCCCGAGAGTGACACTGACACAGCCGCCGCCCTGGCGAGACTGTGCTCAGCTCTCACAGGCTCCGATCCGGAGAGGCCAGGGGTTCGAGTGAGCAGGTGAGGAGGGGACCTGCTACATCCACCTTCAGTCCTGAGGGCGCCTTAGAGCGTCACTTCTGCTTGGTGTTCACGGCCTGCACAGCACGCTGGCATGTGCGTGTGTGTGTGTGTGTGTGTGTGTGTGTGGGGGGGGGTGAATCCAGACGGCAGCAGCGAGCTGGTGTGTGTGTGTGGTGAGGGGTGCTGGGGGTGGTGATGTGAAGAGCAGAGAGAAGCTGAGTGGAGTCCTCAGGGAGACCCCCTTCAAATCAACCCAGGAGGCAAGAGCTCTGGCCGGAGGCCCGTCCTGCCTGCCCTCAGCTAGGACCTCAGTGGCCCATGTCGGCCCTAAACCTGGAGTCCCCTGACGGGTTCCCACACAAGGACGCCTGCTGGGCCAGGATCTGGCGTCTCCTCCGTGCGGGGCTGGGCAGCGCCGATCCGCACGCCTCAGCCTCCCTCGCTCAGACGCAGGGCCGGGCCACCTCCCACAGCTCGCGACAAGACTGACCACAACCGGCCGTCCTGACAGCCGCCCAGCACTCTGCGCACGGACCGCGTCCACTGCACGGGGAGGGCAGACCCACGAAGCCAGGCCGGCTGCCTCCAGGTGGGACGCTGTGAGCACTGGTGAGGCCAGCACGGCCTGGCTCGGACGAGTGACAGGCACTGGAGATGTGGCTGCATGAACAGGCCTGTTTCCTCAATCAAAATCTCCCTCGACTCCCCCACCCCACACCCACCCACCTCCTCCCAGGCCGCCTGGGGGTGGGAGTGCCACAGCACGCGGCGTGTTCCCGAGGACACGCTGTCTGTCCCGCTGGGAACCGCAGGGGCCCTGGCTGCGCGGTGTCCTCCCCGAGTCCGGTGAGCCCCCAGCGAGCGCCCCCCACTCACGTGCTCGTCGGAGGCGTAGAGGACCTCCATCAGCCGCTGCACGAGGCTGTCGCTCTCCTGGCCCTGCTCCTGGCACAGCAGCTCGATCTCCCGCAGCTTCCCGAAGTAGAAGTCCCGCTCCTTCTCCACGCCTTCCAGGGCCAGCTTCAACGAGTGCACCTGCAGGGCCGAGGGTGGAGGAGAAGCCGCCCCCCGGCGTCAGACACGCGACCGCCTGCCTGTGCGGAGCCCAGGACACGCAGAGACAGACGTGCAAACACGCGACCGCCTGCCTGTGCGGAGCCCAGGACACGCAGAGACAGACGTGCAAACACGCGACCGCCTGCCTGTGCGGAGCCCAGGACACGCAGAGACAGACGTGCAAACACGCAACCGCCTGCCTGTGCGGAGCCCAGGACACGCAGAGACAGACGTGCAAACACGCAACCGCCTGCCTGTGCGGAGCCCAGGACACGCAGAGACAGACGTGCAAACACGCGACCGCCTGCCTGTGCGGAGCCCAGGACACGCAGAGAGAAAGCTGCGCTGTGCACGTCCGCGGGAGGAACTGTGTGCGGCCTGGGTCTGGGCCAAAACGTCACGTCCAACCTCCAAGCGCAGTCCTTCCCCGGCAGTGAGTGTGAGTGTGAACCAGGGCCCGAAGGGGTTCCTGCTGGACACAGTGCCCGCCCGGCAGGGAGTGTGAGTGTGAACCAGGGTCCGAGGGGGTTCCTGCTGGACACAGCGCCTGCCCGCGGGCTGAGGACGCTTCCCCTCCTGCCCACAGGGCCAGGGGGCCAGCCACCCCTTCCTCAGAGCTGCCCCTCCTGCAGGGGGGCGCGAGGGGAGGAGAGACAGGCAGGGAGAGAGGCTGGCACTGTGGTCACTCAGATGTATTCTGAGGACGCTGGTGGCTCCACGGCACCTGCATGGAGTCACCCTTAGTTTTGGACCAAACAGGACAAATGCTCTCTCCTGGGAAACGGGTGCTGACCACACAGGAGAACGGGGGAGCCCAAATCCTGGCGAGTGCATCCTAACTCCAGTCCCGGTGTCGTGGGCGATGGGAAGAGATGGAAGCTCATTCCCTCAGGAAACAGTCCCCCCTCCTGCTCCGTGATGCCGGCCAAGGACCTTGCGGGCTGGTGGCTGGAGGGAGGCGCAGCGGGGCTGTCGCCGGCTGAGGGAGCACTCAGGGGTAAGCAGCTCCACTCGGGCCCAAACCATCACCGTTCCTGCTCCGAGAGCCTCAATGTCTCTGCCCTTCGTGCGTTTCCCACTCACGCAGAGAATGCTCTTTAGGAGGCAAGTGAAGTTGCCCGACGGCCCTCTCAGCACACGGAGCACCACCCTCAGCAGTTTCCGGAAATTTGTCTCCCTTTGCTAATGACAGAGCCTCCGTGCACCAGCCAGTCTGTGGGATCAGTGATGCCACAGGCGACGTCCACCCTCTCGCACACCTGGCAGACTCCTGTCCCTCCCGGGGCACCCGGGGGCAAACCCGCGTCCATCCTGCGAGACCCAGGCCACGGTCCCTCGGGGCACCTCGCTGATGCCTCCGGGAGCTGCTCGCCAAGCAGCAGGGCACCGACTTGCCACCAGTTCCCGCGGATTTCTCATCGCACTGCTGCTTGGACCCTGGTAAAAACTGAAGGCAACCAGCAGCCTCAATTCCGCGAAAAGGAAACTCCCCTCATTCTCCAAATCCTCTTTTACTCTAACACAACCCCCCCCCCCCCCCCCCATAGGCATGAGGGTTTCTGGTCGCAGCTGAACAAGCACGAGGCCGGTGTGCCTCGCGAGCAAGCTCTGGTCTGCGTGATGAGCAGAGAGCTGAGGCCTCGGCAGCGATCCCCAGCCCACGTCAGCCCCTGGTGGTGGTCCAGACGCATCAGGTAATGACGCGCAGCTATGAACGTTCCCTAGTAAAACCCACAGGGGCTAAATTATATGATGAAAGATCAATTGGCAGCCGATTCCATGCTGGAAGTCCCACTTATAAAGCCCGGTGCCTCCTGCTCCCTCACTTTCACAGCTGCGGGGGGGGGGGGGAGGCCAGGGAAGGACAGGAGCAGCCTTCCCCTCTCCCCACCACCCGCTAAGCAGCCCCCCCCCCCCCACCTCCTGGGTGCCAGCTCCCCAGCAACTCCCTGCTTATTCCAGGATGTCTTTCTCCCCCATCCTCTGATTCATTTCCGCGGCTGGACTCGCCTAGTGGTGCTGTGCAGTGTGTGGGAGACCGCGGGAACGCAGGCACGGCCGCAGACACATGCGAGTTCCTAGTTTACGGCACCTTCACTTCCTGTTGCTACTGTAACCCACCTCCAGCCTAGGCCCTTCACTCAGCATTCCTGTCCCGCGTCCCGGTTCTAACCCAGTGGTGCCTGGGTGGCTCCCCCCCCCTCCCCGGTTTCCGGGGGGCACCCTGCAGGCTTCGAGCAATGAGGCATATGGCCCAGCTTGAAGGGCTGTCCTCCCCGCCTGCCACCTGAGGAGAGTGAGTGTTACCGGGACTTCTGTGTGGGCTCCAACCCAGACGCGGCAGGTAACGCGGGCATCCCGGTTTCTAAATCAAAGTCCGACCCAGCGATGACTTAAGGCTTCGCCTTTTCCATTGGTGATCAGAATTGTAACGAAATGCCCTGGTTAGCAACTGTCTGCTTTTAAACTAGTTCTTGACTGCAAATGTACAATGATCTCCAAAACCACTTCCAGACGCTCGCTGGCTCATCAAGCATCAGATGCATCACTGGGAACGGCCGGAGTGGTGGGAACGGCCGGAGTGGTGGGAAGGACAGGCCCGGGAGTGGTGGGAACAGGGAGTGGTGGGAATGGCCTGGGGACCTGGATGAAGACTCCCCGCCCAGTGGGCGGAGCAGCCCGATACAAGACCCTCCTCCTAACTCAGGTTGATGGCTTTTGCAGCGGACCCCTCCCTACCAATTGCTTTATTACTATTAAAACTTTATGAACACCTAAACTGAGAGTGACCACTAAACACTGCTGTCTTATATGGGCAGAATTTTTTGTTTGAAATAAAGTTCTAACCTCTCCCTTAAAACACACACCACATAGAGTGGGTTCAGTGTGACTTCATACAGACAATGAGCTGCTGTCAGCTAGAAAGCACCGACGCTGTCACACAGGGAATCCGAAGGCAGTGCAGCCAGCTTTGCTGGGATCAGGAGGAATATTCGGTGGAAAGGAACATTCTACCGAAAAGACACTGGACTTTCTGATCACCCCGGTACTGGGCTCAGTGCTCCTGGGTAACAAATCTCGGCCGCGGGGAAGTGTCAGGTGTCGCTCTTGGCTGTGTGGTCACCTGCCTGACAGTGCTGTCCGCACGCTCCACGAGGGGAGGGTGGCTGTCCTGCTGCCACCACATTCCCAGCATCACGCGCAGGGTCGGTCACACACAACAGGCCTGACACCGGCTGTGAGGAAGAGGAAGGGAGACTAGCCCTAAAGCCTCAAGGTCGAGACCGGCCGGAAGTGGACAGACAGGCCGTGGGCTAGAGGGGGCTCCTGACAGACACTCAGGTGTGTTTGGGGTGGGGAGGGGGGTGGGAGGAGGTGGCCAGCAAACCTGCAGTTACCTGGGCCGAGCCCTGCGTCCTGTCTTAACGCAGCTTTGAGATTTGTGATGAACATCTGTATTCACAGTGGGCCCGGACAGTTCCTTTCATTCTTACTTGTCTGCAACCACGGATTCTGCCTCACCTTCTGTGGAGAGCGGCTACAGCGTTCCGGCAGGTTCAAGCCTCGGACTGACTTGTGGCAAAGCCACATACAAGCCCCAGCTTGGAGGGCAAAGCCCTCCCAGCACAATTACAGCTAAAAGGCTATGGTTGTAAGCTTGACCTTATAGTTCAACCCTGCAGTCCTAGGTAGCTAAGGGATGTGGGCTGTGGGGGATGGAGGGTGCAGCAAGTGCTGCCTTAAACAAAGCTTGACAGAGCTCAGAGAATGGCGACAACAGAAAAGAAGCAGATTTGAAACTCGCAAGAACACTGTGAACATCTTGCCCTTGTTTTGCTCTGTGTGCTCCGACTATAAAATAAGCTCCGTACAGACTGTGTCACTGTTCCCTCATCCAGGCACAGTGATCCACCTGGCCCCAACTGTATTCTCCTGTCTGTTTTTGTTAACCCTTCACCGCCCCTCCTCAGGTTCACCCCTGGCCATGCTGGACGCGGTTCAACCTTCCCTCCCAGAGTTACCCCCCCCCCCCCACACACACCTGTCATGCTCCCACACATGGGGCCAGGGAGGAGGGCGTACCTGTTCATTCAGCTGTAGGACCTGTGTCTCCAAATCTTTGTCCGATTTGGATGCCGAGCCGCTGGAGGAAGCCCTTTTGGCTGATGAGGGGCGAGAAGGTGTGGAGCCTGGTTTAGATGCTGGACTGGACTTAGCTGCGCCTGAAAGCAAGCAGAACAAACGATAAACAATGGCAACAGGAAGATGCTGTGTAGACACAGAGCCAATGGATGAGTTAGGAGGAGTTTGCTAACATGTCTGGGAGGCATTGCCAGCGATCCCTGCCGGAACAGAAGTAGCTCAGATACCGTAGGAAGGACACACGGTAAAATGCAGTGTCGTCTTGGAACTTCCTTAACCCTCTGAGCACTGGGTGCGAGGCGTTTTCCCCGTCAAATAACTGAGGTCAGTGCGGGTGTCCTTCTCCCTCCAGAGAGGTAAGAGTAACAGACACAAAGGGATCTTTAAGCTTTTTTTTCCTAAGAGGGAAGGTTTTCAGATCAGCTTAAAGTAGCACCATCGTTGAGTTTCTACCAAACAAGGAAAAGACCGTATGCTCGATGAACACGTTAGAGGAAATATTAACACCGTGTTTCCTGGCCCTGGTCACGGAAGGAGCGTGGGGACAGCGACACCTCCGTGCAGCGCGCAGCCTGGTGCCCCGTCCTGGTTTCTGTTACTCGGGAAGAGGCTCCGTGAGAAATGGCTGACGCCGGGTGGCAGGGAGCGCGCAGGAGCTGGGACTGTGTGTGGAAAGCAAGGTGTCAGGCTGCGGGGCCAGCTGAGGGCCCCCCACTAGCCACATGTGGGGCAGTTTGCGCACAAAAACCAAAAAAGGCTGCAATGTGCTGGAATGCACTGGTTACACGAAGGCCTAATTATGGGGGAAAGGGCCGGCTATAGAGACCTTACAGGACACTGACCGTGGAGGAAACCTTAGAATGAGACAAAGCACAGTCTCCAAGGATTCTGGAGAGGCTCGACGGCTCGACATTAACTGAGGTGTTTTGGGGAATAAGACAGACGTGTCAAGGTGTCACCCGATACATTACTTATTTTACAGGGAAAACACGCCTTTACAGCGAAGAGATCGGAGGGTCAGCACCCTAACCACGTGATTCCACAGCATCGCTACTAATGCTATAAATTGAAGAAAAAAAAGGCACTGATTTCAGGTAAGACCTCACCCCGGGGGGCTGGGCTCCTCAGCTCCCCCTCTGTCTAGACCTCGGCACAGACACGGGGGTGACCCCGCAGCCCAGCAGCAGGTACAGGGCTATGGCGAGGCTTCTGCACTGCGGGACTCACTCAGGGCATCGCCGGGCCCCCCCTTTGCTCTGAACTCGTTCTGACGTGGTGGCATCGGTGGCATCTCGCCGGCAGAGGTGCCCCTCCTGTGGCCCGTCCCCAAGTCTCCACCCCTCCCCCACGCCGATGCCTCTGAAGGGGGGGGGGGGGGGGGGGGCGCAGGGGAGAGGGGGGCCAGGCGCAGGTCAGCCGGCTTGCAGCCAGCACTGCGCAGTGCTCGGCGGCCTCTGTCGAAGGAACAGATGTTTAATAAATACACAAACAAGCGAGTAAAACCTGGTTGGGGGCTTGCAGCTGACCAGTAGCGGCAGAGGGTGGCAGAGGGTTACAAGGTGCTGACAGCAGCTAACAACGTCCACGCGCGCTCTGATGCCCAGGTAGGAGCAGAGGCTATAAACCGTGGGTCCAGTCCCGGGGGGGCCGTCAGTCACAGGTGGGAGTGCCCCCGAGAAGCGGCAGCGCCTTCCGGGGGGTGCTAGTGACAGGCGCCTGGCCGAGTGTAAGACAGGAGCGTCACGGCGGGAAGGACTGGAGGCGGCTCTGCTGCTCAGAGGGAACCAGCCTGCAGGGACCCGCACGCCCAGGCCTGTGGGAGCCGCGTCTGGGCCGAGGCTCCCGGGACCCCGTGTCCACGGCAGCGGCCAGGTTCCCTGCGTGAAGGCCAGGCCAGGGAAGGAGACGGAGGAGAGCAGCGGGCAGCGGGCAGGGGGGGACCTCGCTGGCCTGCAAGGAGCCCTCCTGAGCCGCCACCTGCCCAGCGGGGAGGCAGCTTCTGAAAAGAGGTTCCTTCAGACCTTCCTGTAAGCAGAGTGTGTGTCACACCCGAACACGAAGAACCTGGCGAACAGACCGACCGTCTGTGGCAGAGGTCTTACCGAGGGCACATCCCACAGCGCCCGCAGCCTCACGGGGGCCCTGCTGCCCGGAGGCCAACCCACGGATGCTGTGAGTTCTGTACCACCACCCGCCAGTCTCGGCCTGAAGGTGGCGCCTGTGCTTCCTGCAGCCCGTGGACGCCGGGCTCAGAGCCCGGCCTTCCCCTGGCACACGGGGTTCCCCTGTATCGGACCCGGCACACGCCCCCCCCCCCCCCCGTATCAGACCCGGCACACGGGGTCCCCCTGTATCAGACCCGGCACACGGGGTCCCCCTGTATCGGGCCCGGCACACGGGGTCCCCCTGTATCGGGCCCGGCACACGGGGTCCCCCTGTATCAGACCCGGAGGCGCTGCTGCGGGTGAGCGGGCCAGGGCGGGGGGTGGGGGTGGGGTGGGGGGTGGGGGGGGGTGGGGGGGGGGGGGGGGGGGGGGGTGGGGGGGGGGGGGGCAGGCCCCACTGGGGTTGCGGTACAGGCCGAAGAAAGAAAGGGATGGAAAACACATTCGGGAACTTCAAGAACAGATCCATTAAATAATTAGTATTTGAAATTTAAAATGAGAGGGATTTCGAAATTCTGATGAAGTTGTTTGGAAAGAAACAGAATACAGAGGGAAATAAACATCCGGTGAGCGAGGATCTGAGAGATTCACATTAGCTGCCCATTTTACCTTCGAATGAATAAATGCGACGAAATTAACAGAAAAAACACGGGGTAGATCTTAGTACCTTCAGGAGTTTAGAGTTTTAAAGACATGCAATTAAGGGTTAAACTAAAACTCATTTTCAAAAGAATATGAAGTAAGCTCTTCCCACCCCAAGCTGCACCTGATGAGGAAGTAATTCCCCCGCAGCCCGCACGGGAGGAGCCGCAGGAGAAACACGATGGTAGGAAGCACCCTACGCGCTCCCACCCTCACCCGGCAGCGAGGAACTGCTTCTGTTTCTGGACTTTAGAAACCTTCCTGTCCTGTTTCACAGCCACTCTCCCGGGCACCGGCTCTCGGGGAGCCACGTGTCTTCCCCATGAACTTGGGCCGTTAGCCATGGTGCCGGGCAGGGAACACCGACACCGTCCTTCGGGGGGCTGCCACCTGTGTTCCCGCTTCGTGAAGTGACCCCACAACGTCCTTCAGCATCCAGCCCTGCGCAGATACTGGGGTCCTCGAGGGCCGCCTTCCTGCTTCCTAGAAGCCCGATGCATTGGCGACCTCACCCTGTGCACCCCCCCCTCTCCCCGCCCCTGCCTCTGGGCTCAGCGATGCTGAGGGGAAAACGTTCGCATGAGCCTTTCTGAGACAGCGGCCGCGGGGCTGTCATGCAGACACAGATTTTTCCCGGAGCCACCAAACATTTCCGTTTTCTTCCAGCTGCGCCTGCTGGTCCCGAGAGCATCCCGAGTGGCAGCCCTCCTTGACCAGAGTCCTCGCCCCCAGCTTCTCTCCCCCTAATTCTCCCTTCAAGCAGGAAGGGGTTTCAGGAGCAGAAAACAGACAGACGCCGTCCAAGTTCCTGTCATCCTCTGACTTGACCTGACATGATTTATAACGCTGGCCTCTGAGCGTGGGTCCTAATGAACGCCCTTGAGATCTGGGGCATAAATACGATTCTGCGACATTTTAACTGCAGTGAAACACCGTTTGTGGCCGACTCGCCGCCCTGGCGAGGCCAGAGCATCGCAGCGTGGTGTCTCCTGTCAGTAACGAGCAGCTTGCGTAACGTCTGTGGCAAGTGCTGCAGCCCTGTGGGCACCGAGGGCCTGAGAGCTCGGGATGATGAGGCAAACAAAAGGACTGAGCTTGGCTTGTCCTTCATGGCCGGGCTCTGATGGAATTCAGGAATTCTTCTCACATAATCCACCGTATTCTGTCTGCCAGAATCATAAACAGAAGAGCTAAAAGTACGGCATTAATGCTGCCACTGGTGGCTGCTTGTATGTGCCCTGACCAGAGTCCGAACCCACAATCTTGGCGTGTCAGCATGATGCTCTAAGTAACTGGGCTACCTGGCCAGGGCTAGATTTTATTTTTTAAACTAAACGATAACGAGCTTCGTTAACAAATAAGCACATGAAGCCAGTGCCAGGGAAAGCCAAGGGGCTGGGCGGCTGAGAAGAAGGAATCCCCACGGAAAGGGCCCTAAGTGCCGGACAGTCCCCCCACCCCCCACCCCGCAGCCCTGACCACTGAGCACCAGGGTCTAACCTTCCCACGGAAGGGGCTCGGCTCCTGCACCCTGTGATCCTGTCACTGCTGAGGGCAGCGAGCTCTCAGGGCAATGGGACCTCAGCGGGCGGCGCGGAGCCCTGAGGCGTGGGTCCCTAAGAGGCCGGCTCTTTCATCCTGAAACTAGTTTGCAGCCCTCGGGCTCTGTCTCCTCGTGGAACCAGCGGCCACGTCTGGATCCTCCTTTCTGCTCCCTCAGCCTCAGCTCAGAGAAGTGGGCAGTTTTCCCTTCCAAGCGGCTTGGGGCACTTCAGACCCCGAGCCCGAGCCCAGTGCCCTGTGGGAATGAGGCCCTGGGAGGAGGGGCATCCTGCATCTTGCCCTCAGGGGGCAGCGGCCAGAGCAGGCCCCGCAGCCAGCGCCTCCCAGGGGTCCTGGCTCTGCTGCCTGCTGGGTGGGGGCTTTTGCTGCCCCGGGATTTGTGTGTAAGAGGAAGAGCGGTGCCCACCTCCCAGAGCTGGGAGGACTACGAGTTAACAGGTGGGAAGCTGGTACACGAGAGCGTGCCCACAGTAAACGCTCAGTAAGTGCGAGCTTACAGGACTATGACTCAGCCAGTGATGAAAAGTACCCAGAGGTCCCATTCCTAGACACCAGCAACATAAAATCTAAGCTGCTGGAATAATAAGGAAACAAACTCGTTTTATTTAAAGAGTCTTTAGCCAGGCCGGTGAGGCTCAGTGGTTGAGCACTGGCCTATGAATGGGGAGTCACAGTTAGATTCCCAGCCAGGGCACATGCCTGGGTTGTGG